ACAGCCCATGGTCACGGCTCCCCACAGCCCATGGCCACGGCTCCTCACAGCCCACGGTCACAGCTCCTCACAGCCCTTCCTCACGGCTCTCCACAGCCCATGGTCACGGCTCCCCACAGCCCATGGCCACGGCTCCTCACAGCCCACGGTCACAGCTCCTCACAGCCCTTCCTCACGGCTCTCCACAGCCCATGGTCACGGCTCCCCACAGCCCATGGCCACGGCTCCTCACAGCCCGTTGTCACAGCTCCTCACAGCCTGTGGCCATACCTCTCCACAGCCCGTCCCAGAGCTCTGCAGAGCCCGTCCCATGGCTCCCCACAGCCCGGGGCAGCCCTGGGGAAGGAGCCCCAGGGCGACGCCTCGAGGCCTTCTCTCCCCGGCCACTTCTCTCCCCGGAACGTCTCTCCCGCGCTCAGAGCGCCGGACCGTCCCCCCGGTGCCGTCGCACAGCTCCCCCCATTCCTCCCCTCCCGCCCCTCCGATTGGCCACGGCGCCGCGCGCGCGCCGGCAGCGGCGGCGGCGATTGGGCGGCGGGGCGGGGTGCGCGCGGTCTCCCGGGCGACGGGGGAGGTGCGCTCTGCCCCGCGGTCCCCCGGGCGCCGCCATGGCGAGCGTGCACGAGAGCCTGTACTTCAACCCCATGCTGAGCAACGGCGTCGTGCACGCGAACGTGTTCGGCGTCCGCGACTGGGTCACCCCGCACAAGATGGCCCTGCTCGTGCTCCTCAGCGAGCTGGGCCGCGCCGGCGCGCAGCTCGGGCTGCTGGAGCGCCGCCGCCTCAACCGCCTGCTGCTGCCGCTGCTGCAGGTCGGGGGCGGGCCTGGGGCGGAGGGAGCGTGGGGGGGAGCCCGTGGTGTCGTGGCCTGTTTTCGCGACATGTCGCTGTGCTCCGCAGGGTCCCGACATGGCGCTGTCGCGGCTGCGCGCGGCCATCGAGGAGTGCTGCCCGCAGCTCGCCAGCTCCGTCCACATCAGGTGCGGGAAACGCCTCGGGCGGGGCCGGGCGGGGCGGGGAGGACCTGCCGGGGCCGCGTTTGGATCCTCCGCTCTGTCCGTGCCGGCCCTGACACCGAAAAACTGCTCCGAAACGTGCAAACGTCCAGTTTTAAAAGTCACACACTGGGGGCAAAACTGTGCTCCTGCACTTCTCTTACTTCTCATCAGCAGATTCTGAAAGGTGCAAACCAGACGTGGAAGGCATCAGGTTTAAAGTTGCTGTGGTGCAGGAGGTCTGTTTTCACACATAACTCGCTGAAGCAGCAACAGTTCCAAAAATCTGATCAAAGGTTTTAAATTTTTAAAATAGAAAAAAAAAACCCACAAAAATTTTGGGTTCCTATTTGTTCTGTTACAGTAGCCATATTTTCTAATTCTTATTTTTATTAAAATAGCTATTTTAAAAGGAAAAAAATACTCATATTATTATAATCATCATTATTTTTATAATTATCACTATTATTATTGAATATGTATTTTTCTCACGAGTATAAAAACCTTCTGGCCCCAGTGAATGAGTTACCACTTGGTTCTGTCTGTGTTTACTCATTTATGCCTGAAACAGGAGAGTATTTTATTTGATGTCTATATGAATACCCTAAAAAAAAAATGCTGTTCTCTCTCCCTGTGTAGGTTAAAACTTATGGTAGAAGGAGAACTGAAAGATATGGAACAGTTTTTTGATGACCTTTCAGACTCATTTACAGGGACAGAGCCAGAAGTTCATAAAACAAGTGTAGTAGGTAAATAATTGCTATCCATAAGTTATTTTTGCTGTGATATCTATAATTGCTGTAGTTTAGACAGAATACAGCTTTGCTTTTGGTTTTGGGGAGGTGTAAGATTTTTCTCTTGCTCAGATGTTTCATCTTAACCAATAATTTTTGCATATTGTCAGGTTTTTACTGATTTTAACAATTTTTCTATGATCAGATTATTTGTGAGATTTGCACCAAAATTAAGACCAGATTTACACCTTGAAAAAAATGAGTTTTGTCACTTGGTAGGCTGTGATGAGGGTCATTAATTTCTATGAAATTTCTCATTAATTTCTGTTAAATGAGAAATGAAACGATGTGGTTTAAGCTCTCGGTCACGGTGTTTCCCTTTCCAGGTCTGTTCCTGCGCCACATGATCCTGGCATACAACAAACTCTCTTTCAGCCAGGTCTATAAACTTTACACAGCCCTTCAGCAGTACTTCCAAAGGGATGAGAAGAAGAGTGGAGCTGATGAGAGTGACATGGAACTCACAAATCCGGAGGAGCTGGATGGGAAAATGGAGAAGGAAGAACTCGACGGACCGTTAAGGTGATATAGTCACACTAAAGCCTTTTCTGCCTCTTAAAGAAATCAATTCTGGATTTTTTTAAAGCTTCCTAAACCCGGGCTGAGGTGTGTGGCTACTTCTTAGTGCCACCATGTGGTAGCTGTTGTCAGTGGCTCATGGAAGGTGGCAGTGCCTCATCCTCACTTAGGGAATCACAGGCTGAAGGGCAGTTGCTGCCCACAATTTCCCCACTGCTGCTTGACTTCCCTGGTTGTCATGTGCTGAAGCTGTTGGAGGGTCACTTCCAGCTAGGAAAGCTTGCTCAATAAGGAGAAGTTGAGCTTAATGTTTTTGGCTTCTCTCTCCGCCCCTCTCCTAATAAAAGAGCTCACTCTCTTTACCTCAAAAAGAAGCAAATATTGAGAGTTTTCACCTCCTAAAGAAGTATAAGAATAATCCTAAGAGTATTTTCTGTATCCATATATTTAAAATGTACTTTCTAAACTGTCTTTGTATAAACCTGTGCTTGTGCAGGAGTTCCTGCATCAGCAGTCAGACAGCAGCTTTGGGGTCTGGCTGGGTGCTCTACTTACTGTTTTCCCATGGAATAAACTTCTGGCAGAACAGCTGTTTTCTGGAGTGATGTGTGTGGCCAAAGTGCCACTTCATTTCACTGGGACAATCTGTAGAAGAAAGGAAAAACAGGGCAAATTCAGTTGAATGTGCCAACCCCAAATCATATCTCTGCTCTTTTTCTTTAGGGTTTTTTAGGGTGTATTTAGGATAAAGTTCCTGTCTACTTCGGTTTCTGCAGGTTGAAGATTACAATTAAACTGTGTGAAACCATTTGGATTGCTGGCTTTGATGCAGTAAATTTTACTCTTCATTAAGTTTTCTCAGTTTTCAGTCCTGCTTTGAGCTTTAATATCTCATGAAACTTTATAAAGCAAAAACTGTGGAGTATCTGATAAAGTGTATTTCCTTATTCTATTTCCTTGCCCCTGTTTGTAACCAGAGCGTTTCTTACCAGGGAAGAAGAGATATCCTGCAGTGGTCCTCTTTCCCAGAAGCAAGCAGAGTATTTTCTGTCTCAGCAGGTATGTTAATTCTGAATAAAGTGGGGTAAATGTTCCATAACGTGAATTTCACCTTGACTTTTATCCAGAGTGTCAGACACAATGTTAAATCTGTTAAAGATTTGTTGATATCTTGCATGTTGTTGCTCAGTGTGAGCACTTGGAGCTCAAAGTGTTTTATCTAGACATCACCATATGCTGATATTTGGTTCTGGGAAGGTCCTTCCGCTCTCCCTGCTCGCCTCAGATCTGATGTCTGTGAAATGTGCAGTTTTGTTGATTATTCCAGCTGGTAAATACAAAATGGAGCAGAAATACACATGGGCACAAATGTCAGTAATTCAGTATTCAGTAATGCTTATTCTAGTTACTGGATTATTGCAATTTTTTTATTAATTGAACTACTTGCCAAAGCAAACTCTGAATTTAGTTGTATTTATTTTCCTGAATTTTTTTTTTTTGTGAGAAGATACATGTAATTCCAGTGAGAAATATGTTGTGTTAATTATTCAAGGGGAAAATTCACCGAATTCTTTTAAGTACCTTTAAACAGTCCTTTGAAAAAGCTTTTATTTGACTTGGTCTCTCTGATCTCTGGAAAGTGAACATTATAATTTAATACAGAATAAAACTGACACTGATGTTTCAGTGTCACAGTAGACAGAGCTGTTACAAAATCTCCTTTAATGTTCTCTCCAAGCAGATAACAACCTGACAGTCCTTTATCACAATGCATTTATAACCCTCTTGATGGAGTTACGTATCTTACTTTTCAAATTTTATTCCAGGCTTCTTTATTAAAGAATGATGAGACAAAGGCTCTTACTCCAGCATCTTTACAAAAGGAATTGAACAACTTGTTAAAATTTAATCCAGACATTGCTGAAGCAGTAAGTACCATTTTCTTTATCCAAAATGGTTGTAAAGGGATTTCTTATCTCTAGACTGGGATTATTTGGGAGCAATTTATTCTCTATTGAAATATAAGCAGATGATAAAAATGTGAGCAAGTTGCATGTAAATGTTTAGTAATTCAGACTGAAACTCCTGAAGGCACAGAAACCTTAATTAAGCTTCCCTGCATGTCTGGCTTCATGCACAGATATAAGCCTCTTAATTTTGGTGGGACTGAGTGCATTCTTGTTTAACTAAACCTAAAACTTACTTCTCTTTCCCACATTTTCTAAGGAATTTCAGGCCTCATATTCCCATAGTTTAAAAATCAATATTAAGTGCAATATCTGTGCTTAATAACAATTTATAGGGAAAACCCAGAGAATTCCCACTGAGGGTTGTTTCCAGACCTGTGCTGTGAGCACTTGCCTTGTTCCTGAACAGCTTGTTCTTGAGCAAATTCCATGAGTTCCCAGTCAACTCTTTCCTGCTTTCCTTTCTAACTCTTCCTCCCTGGGCTGAAGCAGACAGGATTTTTTGTTCCTGTTTGGACATGTATCCTTGAAAGGGCTGCCATAGTCCTGGGCTGGACTTCACAACTCCATAAGTCCTCTCCAATGTTATGTTTGTCTCACATAAAGGAATTGCCCTGCCTGGGTCTCAAAGCAAAAAAGAAAACACAATTTTAGCATTTCCTTTCTGCCTGCACAGCATTTGGAAGCAGAGCTGATGTTTCTAAGTATCCTGAGTGCAGACACAGTGGGAGTCATGCCTCCATTTCCCCTCTCACGTTACACTTAAATGCAGGGATTCTACTTTTGTGATTCTGCCTATGCAGAGATCTCAAACTGGGTGGGATCGTTCTGATCTTGGCCTATGGGACACCAACTGTTAGGGACAACAACTAGTTTTGCCCAAGAAATTGTCCAGTTTTATCCAGAAATTCTGCACAGGTAGTATCAGTGTTGTTGCAGCTTTCTGGCCATGCAGTATTTCATGGCTGCAGGTGCTGACCAACCTTTCTCGGTAAGAAAATAGATAGTAATTATAAACACAAACTGTGTTTTAACGTCTGTATCGTTAAAGCTGATTTTTCTCCATTTTTTTTAGCATTATTTAAGCTACTTGAACAGTCTCAGAGTGAAGGATGTCTTCAGTTCCACACACAGCCTGCTCCACTACTTCGACCGGCTGATCCTGACGGGAGCAGA